AAAAAGCTAGGTAAAGGACGTCTTACACACAAACTATTCTCTCAGAAATGAGCATGTGGAGAGACGTTCTTTCATCTACCAAAAAGGGAACCGGTGGCAAGAGAAATACTTACTCCCTTTTCTCAATCTGAATCCTAGTGCAGATTGGGAGTTCCTGCAGTTTTCAATGTAAAATCCAGTTGGAGCTTGTACCTGCCCACATATATGTAAGTAGTGGAGTTACATCAGAAAAGATACTATGTGTTCCCAAAAAGATAGGTGAAGGAAGGCTTTCACACACACTTATCTGACAGAACTGAGCATGTGGAGAGACGTTCGTTCATCTAGCACAAAGGGAACGGGTTGCAAGAGAAACCCTTACTCTGGTTTCTCAGTCTGTTTCCTAGTACCGGATAGAAGTTCCTGCTGTTTACACAGTAAAACAGTGTTGAAGATAGTACCTACTCATATATATGTAGATATTGGTGTTTCCAACTGAAAAGAAAATTTGTGTTCCCTACAAGTTAGGTGAAGGACGGCTTTCACACACACATATTTCTCAGAACTGAGCATGTGGAGAGACTTTGGTTCATGTGGCACAAAAGGAATTGGATGCAGGAGAAACATTTAATATGCTTTCTCAGTCTGTTTCCTAGTGTCGGTTAAAACTTTCTGTAGTTTTCAATGCAAAAAACGGGTTGGAGATAGTACCTACCAAAATATATGTATGTAGTGGAGTTTCCAACTGAAAAGCAACTTTGTGTTCCCAACGAGCTAGGTGAAGAACGGTTTCACATACACTTATCTCTCAGAACTGAGCATGTGGAGAGACGTTCATTCTTCTAGCACAAAGGGAACGTGTTGCAGGAGAAATAATTATTCTGGATTCTGACTATGTTACATGTGCCGGTTTGAAGTTCCTACAGTTTTCACAGTAAACACGAGTTGGAGTTTGTACCACCCCATATTTATGTATGTAGAGGTGATGGCAACTGAAAAGAAAATTTGTGTTCCCAACAAGCCAGGTGAAGTACAGCTTTCACAAACAATTTTCTCTCAGAACTGAGCATGTGGAGAGATGTTCGTTCATCTAGAACCAAGGGAACGGTTTGCAGGAGAAACTCTTACTATGGTTTCTGAGTCTGTTTCCTAGTGCCGGTTTGAATTTCCTGCAGTTTTCAGAGTAAAACCGTGTTGCAGCTTGTACCTCCCCATATATATGTATGCAGTGGAATTTTCAAATGAAAAGTATCTTTGTGTTCTCAACAAGCTAGCTGAAGGACTGCATTCAAACATAATTATCCTTCATACTGAGCATGTGGAGAGACGTTCGTTCATCAACACAAAGGGAGGGGTTTGCAGGAGAAACACTAACTCTGGTTTCTCAGTCTGTTTCCTAGTGCCTGTTTGAAGTACCTGCAGTTTTCACTTTAATAACGAGTTGGAGATTGTACCTCCCCATATATATGTATGTAGTGGAGTTTATATCTGAAAAGAAACTTTGTGTTCCCAGCAAGCTAGGTGAACGACGGCCTTCACACACAATAAACTCTCAGACCTGAGCATGTGGAGAGACGTTCGTTCATCTAGCACAAAATGAACAGGATGCAGCAGAAACACATACTCTGGTTTCTCAGTCCGTTTCCTAGTGCCGATTTGAAGTTCCTGAGCTTTTCAATGAAAAATCGTATTGGAGCTTGAACCTCCCCATATATATGTATGTAGTGGAATTTGAAACTGAAAAGAAACTTTGTTTTCCCAACAAGCTAGGTGAAGCACGGATTTCACACACACTTATGTCTCAGAACTGAGCATGAGGAGAGACTTCCGTTCATCTAGAACAAAGGGAAAGGGTTACAGGGGAAACGATTACTCTGGTTTATCAGTCGGTTTCCTAGTGCCGGTTTGAAGTTCCTGCAGTTTTCTCTGTAAAAGCGACTTGGAACTTGTACCTCCCCATTTATATGTATGTAGTGGGGTTTTCAACTGAAAAGAATCTTTCTGTTCCCAACAAGCTATATGAAGGGCGTCTTTCACACACACAGATCTCTCAGAACTGAGCATGAGGAGAGACTTCTGTTCATCTAGCACAAAGGGAACGGGTTGCAGGAGAAACA